GGGATGAACTCATTTAATATTTTCCACTTGAAAGTCATGTAGAGACTTGCTTTGATGGTACTTGCAAGTCAAGGATACTCTTAGGAACAGGATGGAAAAGAACAAGTGCATCGGTGTTCCTTCTGCAGATAGACATGGTGATGGATGCTCACTGTGTATTTCTATTCTTCATGTGACTGCATATTTGTATTAAAGTTGCACTCAACCAAGACCAGGCCCAAGTAAGCTAGGCACTGTAGTCCCTGCTCCTGATCTATATACTCCAGACAGATAAAGGGTGAGAACAAGGAAGTATTAACAATCCCATTTAAAAAATTGGGGAAATGAGGCACAAAGAACTTAAATGATTTGTCCAAATATCAGAGACGTCATGAACAATGCTGGGAATTCAACACAGTTCTCAAGTCCCAGTTCAGCATCTTAACCATAAGACCAACCTTCCTCTCACCACAAACTCTCAAAATAAATCCATTCAAGACATTTTACTGAAATGGGAAGGAGAAGCAAAAATTAAAAGGTCGGAAAAAGACTATCTAGTGTCTCAGAAAGCACAGAGGTTTCAAAGCCAGTAATGATTACATCAATTCCTATTCACAATATCCTATAACTCTAATATTTAGTATGTGGTTCTTTTCCCTCCTGTCTTCACATTCCCGCATTTAAAAACCAGGATAAGCAGACAGTTCTGGTGCTCATGAGTTCCTCGGATGAGCTTGATGTACAGACATCATAAACTCACACACAGGCCCACCACTGGCAGGGTGGGGGGGAGGGGAAGAGAGGGAAGGGAGCAGTTGCCCCAGGGCCCAGTGATTCAAAGAGCTCTGAGACTCCTGAGGGCGCAGAGGACTGGAGGGGCGGGGTCAGTGTGGTTTGCTCTGGGCTGGCTGCCCCAGCCCCTCAGTCCTCTTTCTGCTCTTTCCGGGAGGGCAGAGCCAGCCCTCCCCAAAAGACCTTGCTAAGGGTCCCGCAGAGGCTGTTGGTGCCCCTACTCACACACTCTCTGTATTAAAAGTTTCAAAAGAATCTAAGATCAATTGTCTCTGTTCTTGACAACACTAAAGGAAGAACTCTTGAGACAATAAAATGAGTAAACTCAGAAGAGTGCGAAATAGAAACAGTATGCTTTTGGAAAATGGTAAATTACATACATACACATACAATCAGATGGCACAAATGTTCTGCCTTTCATAAAACTGAGTAATAAGTAATGTAGCTATTTAGAAACAACCTGTGCTCTACCTTACCATAATATACAGGGATCAGTCAATCACTTTTTATTGACCTAATTTTCAATTTAAAAGAGTTTTAATTAAAATAAATTAAAATAAAACTCTTTGAACAAAAGCAGAAATATGTCAGTTAACTGCACGTGCACTCTAAATGCCAATAACTTAAGAGGGAAAACATTTTCTGTCAGATTTCTAGAGAAACAAGTCAGTCATAGCTAATGTGCTCAGTTTAACAGCTTTCAAAACCAACAGAAATGAACATAATATATTCAGGAATACTTTTAAAGTAGTGTTAACTCATCATTAGTCCCAAATTAGTGTCAGACTCTACTCCCTGAGCACTGAAAGAAGTCTGCAGTGATTATTTCTAATTCATTAGCCAGTGAAATGAACATTTACCAGAAAACAGCTCACATATTAAATATAAATATATGTATGATCTTAAGACTGAGAAAGTAGGCATTCAAGGCATTCAAATTAAGCTCACTCCCCCAATAATATATATGACACTTTTCCTTATATGTTCTGCAGCATATGGACTGAAATTTCACAGCAAAATACTCAATTTCTGCTGACATCAATGCTGAGTTCTAAAACTAACTAGAAATGTTGTGACAACAGGACTGAGTTACACAAAGCAACATTAACAGAATCAGGGGCTTTTATAGAATTATGTTTTTTATTATTATGGTATTGCCATCGAGCACTCGAATTTATCAACACAGAAAGACTTCCATAGGACTATACAAACCTCACTATTTTCTGCCTTAAGAGCAAGACTCCTTTCTTTGACCTTGCCTTCTCTAACATATAGCAATATGTGTTTGTGTGTGTTATAAATTAAATATAAAAACAAATGGGTAAATCCTTCTGCCCGAGGAGGGGAAGAATGAGAGAAAAAAGGCATAATATATGTTAGTCACACTGCTTAATGCACTATTAGAAGGTCTTCATATACTAGTGATGACCATAATATAAGAATCTACACAGAGACTAGAGTAGAGTATATTCAATATGGTATTATTAATTTGCTTTCATTAGAGACTATTTTTGAACTTTTTTCCCATACTGCTGCCCAACTTGCAATGTGTCACAAGACAACGCTAGTATACCACAAAAAACAGAGAGCCTTGCTGCAGAATGTAGGGTGGTATCATTCCCTTTCTCTTTCCTGTTTCTAAGATGGCATGCAGGTACACTACCCATTCTACTTCTCACTAATGAGTGGTGCATTGGCACAGGAAAGCAGAAGTGGCAAGAAAGTGGGTGGGAAGCTCTGGCAGCAGGTCGGGGAGACTGTTGGAAAACAGTAATGTGTTGTGTGTACACATGACTGAGCACTGGAGAAGGGTGGAAAGCAGCAGTGGACCAAATTGAGAATCCATAAGGCAACAGACACAAGCGAGTGGAATGCTACAGCGAACAGAATGGGAAAGAAACATGGATTTTTCAGATATGATGAATCATTAAGACTGTGGAACCTTGTTCCCAATTCTTACCTTTTAAGTTTTCAGGGGACACCCTACCCTGCAGTGTTTTGGGCAGAAAAGTCTACATAAAGATCTCTTTTTTCCTCCAGGCTCTAGCTTAGCATGTAGCTAGAACATGTTCATTGAAAACAGAACTCTCCACTGTGGAAGAGAAAGAAGCAGGCAGAATATAACTACACTGTGCATGCTCCAACTAGGTGCTAAAGAAAGGACAATGTAACAACTGAATCTCCACAAACATCAATGTTTATGGCCAGCAAGGGGATTTTTCCTGTAGCAGCTGCCCTAAAAGAAAAACCCTGTAGCCAAATCTACAAATTGGCTTCACAGAGCCATAGTATACATTCTTAACAAAAACTATGTCAATCAACGTGTACAATACTACATATTTACCACATGTCCAAGTTAATATTGTGGAAACAGATTTAATTTCTGGAATTCTTAAAATTTCAGGTCATTGATCTATCAAGCATAATCCAAATGTGTTGTGTATACAGGTGATGAGCACCACCCATCAAAACACTACAGATCATTTCTCTGTTTTTGAAGTGCAAAATGTTTGAGCTGTTCACCTTCCGGCGATTATCAGGTCTACAGACTTGTGGAATCTGTTATTTTGAGCTATTTGGCTTTATTCCTCCTGATCTCTAGCATCCTCAATGAAAGCTCCTCAAGCCAAATAACTGCTGACACTACTTCAGAATGGCATAATAATTTAGGTTGGAATTTTCAGAAAAGATGATGGGAGTTAGGTACCCAAATCTCGTTGAAACTTCCTTACTCTCATTTGAAAAACATTGCTTCAAGCCATTGTAATATCAAAAAAGAGCAGTTTAAACAGTTTAAAAACTTATGTTTTAAATTGCTTCATATTCAGTAAAAAACTTAGTGCTCTCTTCTACACCAAAAAGAGACAGGGCTGACAACACCATTGAGCTTCCCTAGCCTATCCGCAATGAGGCCCGAAAATTGTTTAGTCCCCACTATTGGGCAGTTAGGCCAACCACTCAAATATTCATTATAGAAAGTGTGCTAAACTCAAAGTGAGTTAGCCAACATCCTATCACAGCCTAAGAAACACTGAGTCAGGCCTCTGTCATGCCCACCCCAATCAAGAAAGGAGAATTGGAGTTGGCTGAGAAAGTCCAAGCCTATTTGCAAACAGAGAACAGCTGCCAGCCTTGTTAGTCCAGGGCTACAAAAAGGCAGGCAGGAAAGCAGCCAAGAGAGAGGAAAAGAAGAAGCCAGGGAGTTGGTGCTCTTCCTTCCTGGCTGCAGGAATTAGCAGTTCCTTGGGCTGCGATAATGAAGCTGTTTGTAGCTAGAAGGTTGTAGAAAAGTAAACTACAGATAAAGAGCACAGGTGATTGCACCCACACTGGTTTGTGGGCACATCAGGGGCGGAACTGAGGAGGACCCAACAAAGCTCCATATTATATAGGCCCATAAGAAGAAGAGGAAGAAGTTAGGAACACTGGCCACGTATTTCTCCATAAATTAGGTTACATCTTCACTACGTGGAAGATCAATGCTGCCATGATCCATCTTCCAGAGTTTGTTTTGGCGGGTCTAGTAACACCTGCTAAATTGAACTCAGAGAGCACCCCCATTGGTGCCAGTAGTCCTGCTTGTACAAGGAGTAAGGGAACCCAATGGGAGTGTTTGTTCTCATCGACCTTCTGCTGTGGAGACTGTGCGGAAACTCAAATTAAGGTATGTCAACTCTAGCTACATACATCTGACGAAGTGGGTCTTTGCCCACGATAGCTTATGCTCCAATACATCTGTTAGTCTATAAGGTGCCACAGGACTCCTTGTCGCTTTTGCAGATCCAGACTAACACGGCTACCCCTCTGATACTCTAGCTACATAGTTAACATAGCTGGAGTTGCATATCTTAATTCAACCTTCCCACATAGTGAAGACATGGCGTTAGTATGATTCTGATGTCCCAGGGACAACTGTTATTTTAGCTCTACTTTCCAGCAAGAAGTCCCACCCTGTTTTATACTTATTATGTATTAATCCTATATTAAATTACTATAAAATATCTGGCAAATAATGTAACTTACAGCTCTTGAAAAGTTCACTGTGAAAGTCTCTTGCATCTCTACTGAATTTAAATCCCAAGTGGCATTTCCTTAGCCCCAAACTATATCAGCAGAAAGGCAGATGAGGCATCTACTAGTTCTAATAACTTTTTATATAGCAAGAGTTTAAATGATGCCTGTGATTTTATATATTTTAACATAGTTTCAAGACAAAGATGAATGATTACTTTCTGTGTGGTACGGGTATCTTGTTCTTGTTGCCTCTCCTCTGCTGTGCATTGTTCTGTCTTCTGAGATACAGCTGAACATATTTCAAAATCTGTATGGCCCAAATCCTGCAAATACTGGTAAAGTGGAGAATTCTGAAACAGAATTACAAAAATAAAGTAAGACCAAATGGCCTCTTCAACACTTCTAAGAAAGAAAAGCCATGATTAAATATCAACAAATACAGCTCAAGCCACACAATTGCTTGCAAAGTACACAGCAGGAAGAAAATTCAGTTTTCAGAGTCAGGGTCACTGAGTACATCAGGAGTAGAGGAAGGCAGGGCACAGGGCAGGAAGCGTCCAGTGAAACAAGTGTTAAGGGCATAAAAACAAAGTTCTACTGCACATACAATACTAATTTGCTAATCCACATACTTTAAAATTCACACAAGCATAAAAATGCCTGTTTTCCAACACTCTCAAAGATAATACACCAAGGGTGTGTCTAGACTACAGGATTTTGTTGACAAAAGTGGACTTTTGTCAACAAAACTATACCTGCGTCTACACTACTGCCGCATTCTGTCGACAGTAAGTCAACAGAACGTGGCAGTTTTGTCGACGGTGGTAGACCTCACTCTACGAGGAATAACGCCTTTGTCAACAGAGTTCTGTCGACGAAAGGTAAGTGTGGACATGGGGAAGAATTTATGTTGACAATAAAGGCCTCCAGGAAGAAGTCCTGGTGGACACTCCTGCCACAGCTTTCAACTCTATTGTTCCTGCCTATAGACATCTTTAAAAGGCACAGGAACCTGGGATTTAGCATTCTGGCAGCAAGCCAGCTCCAGCCAGGACTCTGAGATTGCGCTGCTCTTTCTGGTCAGGCAACTCGAAGCCATGTCCCAGGGGCAAGACCCCCTTGGCCCTTCCAGAGACACATCCCCGCAGGAAGCCAGGGGCACCAAACGCCGGACACCCTCCTGGTCTGGGCCCGAGACAAAAACCCTCTTGGAGCTCTGGTCTTAGGATGAGGCTCTTCAGGTCTCACAGTCCAGGCGGAGGAACGCTGACATTTACACCAGAATGGCTGATGGCCTGGCAAAGACAGAGCCAAAGTCAAGGAGCTGCGGCAGGGGATACGGCACACTACTGTGCCTACTACAAGGACCCCTGCCTCCCAAGAGGGTTGTGGAATCTGGCTTGGAGACCCCTGTGCAGCAGCAGCCGCAACTCCAGGGTGAGACCCTAGCAGTCGACTAGGAGCTCCAAGAGGAGGAGGAGGAAGACAGCACCAGGAGCACCCTGGAGCCAGACACCTACACTCAGGAGGCCTCCCAGACAATTTCAGACACCGGGGAGGGAACATCAGGTGAGTGCTGTGAGGGTCCAACACACACAGGGCAGGGCAGGCGGGAGCAAAGTGGATGGTGCAGTGCTGTGACATGTCATGCTGATCACAGCCGGGGGGGGGGAGGGAGAGCACACACCTGGCTGACCTTAGGGAGGGTCGTCCTACCCCTGCACCCGCATAGCTGTGAGGCACCACCTGCTCTTGCAGGCAGTGATGCCAGGTGCAGGCATGGGTTGGGGACGCTGGGATTGCCACACAGCTTCAGGCCACTCAGCAACCCGCGGGAACCCCAACTGTGGCTTGACACTTGTCTGTGCTGCTTGGCCATGGGGTGTGTGTGAGGGGAGCGCAGGATGGTGGCCTGCACACCTTCTTCGCTCCCTTCCTAAGATGTACATAAGCATCCTCTGATCCTAGGACAGGCACTGACTGCTGAGAAGGGGAAGGGCATGCCCTCTCAGGGAAAGTGTGGGCATGCATGACTGATGACTTTTCCCTCTTGTCCTCTACAGCCGGACCAGTGGACCAGGAGGGGGCGCCACACCTGCCTCACCACCCAGACAGCTGCAGGAAACCCGTCGGCACTGGTGCATGTATATGGACCTGGTTGCACCAGCACATCTTGGTTCTGCAAGGGATGCAGGACGCAATGAACCAGAGGCTGGAGGCAGAGGAAGAGTGGTGCAGGCTCTTGCTGGATGAGTTTGTCGAGCAGCGCACTGAGATTTGTGCTGCTATCCAGGAGGCAATGGCCTTCCCCGGTCCTGTCCCTGGTCCTGCTCAGCCTGCCCCCCAGCAACCCCTACTCTCCCCTCAGCCCCTACCATCCCAGACCCAGGTACAGCCCCACCACCTGCTCAGCCCCCTACTGTCCCAGGCCACATGTGCGGCTGTGTGTGAGAAGGCCTCCCCAGCCAAAGTGCCATGGGATCTTCATCAAGGCAGCACCCTCAGCCCTGAGCCTCCCTCCCCCCTTTCAGGCTGACATTCCCCCTTCCCACCTGTGAGAGTCACTGAGGGAAGCACTTTACTTTGTTTACAAACACTTTATTTTTCTGAACAAAAGAGTATTTTAGTTTTTCAAAAAACCAACAGTGAAATAAACTGTAAACATTTTTTCACCAACACCTATCTCTGTTCTCAGTGTGTGATGAATGAGTACGTGTGAATGTGGAGCCAGGAGGGGTTTTGGGGAGGAAGGCACTGGGGGCATGGAGCAATCCCACATTTGGAAGGCCCTGGGGAAAATCATCGGCCTCCTTGGGAGAACTGCTCCCTCACGGCTTCTCAAATGCGCAAGCCCAGCTGGTGGGCTTGCCAGATTGCAGCTCTCTGGGGCTGCTCAAAGTGCCTCCCCTCCACATCAGCCTGTGTCCCCCATACAGGGAGGAAGGCCTCCCCTTACCTCTCCACTACATTGTGCAGCACACAACATGCTGCAACCACATTGGGGATGTTATGTTCCCCCATGACCAGTCGAGTGAGCAGGCATCTAAATCTGCCTTTCAGATGGCCGAAGGCACACCCTACCTGGAAGTGAGCCTGATTCAGGTGGGAGTTAAACAGTTCCCTGCTTGAATCCAGGTGGCCGGTGTAGGGCTTCATGAGCTGGGGCATAAGGGGGTACGCCGCATTGGCCACGATGCACGTAGGCATCTGCACATCCCCGACTGCATAGTTCCTCTCTGGAAAGAATGCTCCAGCCTGCAGCCTGCGGTACAGGTTCTGGAATATGTGGGCATCGTGTGCCTGGCCTGCCCACCCAACACAAATGTCTGTGAATTGTCCCAGGTGGTCGACCAGAGCCTGCAGCACTATCGAAAAGTAGCCCTTTCTATTAATATACTGTGCTGCTTGACAGGGTGGTGCGTGGATCAGGATGTGAGTCCTGTCAAGTGCTCCACTGCAGTTCGGAAACCCCAGCCCCGCAAATCCGACTAAGATGGTAGGCAGGTCTCCGAGGCAGACAGTCCTGTGAAGCAGCTCCGAATTGATGGCCATCACCACCTGCAGAAAGGGACAAATACAAACACACATAACAGGACATTAGAGGAGTTGCATGAACTGATGAGAGGTGCTCCCCCACCCCTCCCTTCCCAGACCCCAAGAGCCCCCCCTCAGGTAACTCCCCCATGCCCTCTGCACCACCGCAAGGTGAGGCCAGGCAGGCTTCTACCACTCCCACCCCAACCCCCATTCCCTGTGCCCAGTCCTGACTGTCCCCCTTCTCCACCTGCCCCAGCCCCGATGAACTGTCCCCCGAGAGGGACTTACCTCCATCAAGACAGCTCTGACGGTAGACCTCCCCACGCCAAACTGATGTCCCACAGAGCGGTAGCTATTGGGGATGGCCAGCTTCCGCAGAGCAATAGCAACGCGCTTCTCCGGGGGATGGTGTCCCACAAGCAGGTGTCCTAGCATTGCAGGGCAGGAGCAAACCAGGCAGAGAGCTCCTGGAAGGTGGACTTCCGCATGCGGAAGTTTCAGAGCCACTGGTCGTCGACCCATTGCTGCATAACAAGCCGGTCCCACCAGTCAGAACTGGTGACCAGCCTCCAAACTTGCCTGTTCCGGAATAAGTTCGGGGGCAAGGGCAGTAGGGCTGCACCCTGAGTGAGGGGCTCAAAGCTGGGCTCTGAATCCAGCTCTGCCGCAAATGACATGATGCTCTCATGAAGATGCAGCAGAACTTCCATCATCACAGTGTGTGGCCATCGCCTGCTCAGGGACAGCTCAGGCTCCAAGGCCAAAACCACAGTGCAAAGCAAAAAAACAAACCTGAAAATAAACTGCTGTGGTGTCTGAGGAAGCAAGGCAACCAGAGCAAAAACTGCAGCAGCTTTGCTTTCTCTCTAGGACGTAGGCAAGCCAGAAGCAGGAGCAGAGCAACGGCTGTCCAGGAGGATCCCTTGTTAAAATAAGATTTAACAAGAGACTGTACATAGTCTATATTATGATTCTCAAGGCAGAAAGGATCTACAGTGCTCAAGGCTTGTTTCTGCTTTATGGAAAGAAAAAAATGCAAGGAGTTTTCCAGGATAATACAGGATCATACAAAAAGAGATGAAAAGTTCTGTGATCTTATCTCCTCCATCACCAGAATTGAAAGTGGGTTGGTATGGCACACTCATCAGAAGCAGCCATTGGTACTGGATCATATATAGCCAATAGTAAAGTGCGGCAGCACCTCAAGGACCTTCCTTCCATCTACTGTCCCTTCCCATCCTCCCCTTCCCATTCCCCCACCCCACCCTGGTTGGCAGCCCTGCTGGTAAGGTCCAATAGCACTTTAACTTCGCTGCTCCTTTCCCACCTCCTGAGCTGCCCTGAGGAGCAGTGACATTAACTGATGATAAAACACTACTTCTTGAGACCCCATCCTCTCGCCATCTCTTGCCCCACACTCCCCTCCCTCATGTAGCCTCTTCCTTGCAAGTATCTACAATCCCCCTCCTCCTCAGTTCACTGCATGCACCGGCTCCTTCCTGCCCCCTCCCCATTTAAATGTGTAACTGCTGAAATTTTCAATAGTTACACATTTACTTAATCAAACATTTTTTAACATCCCTTGCAGTAGCTGGCTTCCTGCGGGGCGGCAGATGGAAGCTGGTAGCACCAGCTCCGGGGGAGCCAACTGCCACCCTGCGTTGCTGTCTCTCATATGGAGGTAGCAGCATGGGGCGGCAGGCTGGTACTCGGCTTCTCACACACACCAGCTTCCAGGGAGCTGGCTGCCACCCCAGGCTGTAGGTGTATGTAACCACTGACATTTTTCAGTGGTTACATATTGGCCAATTATCTGCACTGTAAACATCCCTAAAGCAGACACATCAGCAGTGACATGCTAGAAATGTTCTTAAGTCTGATAATGAACATGATTTTCCCAAGTAAAAAGTGCATAAATCCTATAAGTTTGTATATGTAATGCGTCTAAGAAGAGGTTCACAAATCTCTGCATGAGCTATGGGAAACTGACCAAAAACCTAGGTAAATCTTTAATAATAAATGGTTATATTGATTTCCATTAACTCCTGTCAGTATAACAACATCTGAAGCAAGTCAAGGAGAACAAGATTAAATTACTGCTACCATTGTAGGTATACGATTTGTTTCTTCAAAAGACTTCCTGCCACTTGGTAAACACTTGTTTCAGTCACTGTTTCTATAAAAATAGCTTAAGTACTTGCTGTTATAAAATGTAAATCTGTAACACGGGTAGCTACGGTTATTTTTACTTCCATTTTGAACGTACTTCTTCAATCGCTGGTATCAGTTTACATCAAACCTTATTCATACTTTGGCATGTTCTCCTTGAATTACTCACAACACTGGCTCATTGTTCAATCACTATCTGAAACAAACACAAATTCTAATAAATTTATAGTCTATTTCTAAGGAATCTTCATTCAAAGCTTCATGTAAGACAATTCTCTTCACCAATAATGATGCAATACAGTACAAGACTCTGAAGTAGACAAGTGACTCAGCTCCTTGTGGGGACTTTTCCAGTGCAACAGATCAATGGTATGTTCTTCAAGTGCCCTTCCCATTAAAGTAGGATACTACAAAGGCAGGTAAATCTGCAACATATCATTAGAGCATCATACAGTTCTGAATTAGCTAGTAAGAAGGTACATTCCCTCCGAGTAGAGCAGGCATGTCAAACAGGTCTCTGGCAATGCGCATGGGGCCCGATAGAAATGTTTTGCACCCCACCACTACATTTTTATAAAAGAATAAAGTGTGGCCCACTGGCAACTCAGAGTACGTGGCTGAGAGCAGATCACAGCCAGATGACTGGCCGCTCTGTGCACGGCACTGCAGTGACTGCTCACAGTCGACCCGGCCACTCTGCACACGGCACCCAGCACATGCTCACGTCCAGCTGGGGTGCTCTGCGCTGGGCTCTCCAGCACATTCTCATGGCTGGCCGTGACTGCTCACAGCTGGACTGCTCTGCGCACGGCGCCCAGCATATGCTCACGGCCAGTAGGGCTGCTCTGCGCACGGCGCCCAGCGCCTGCTCACAGCTGGCCACTGTATTCACGCTACCCCAATGCCTGAGAAAGAAGTGTGTGGCGGCAACGGGACCCAAGCATTAGGCTGGGGGTATACTGGCTCTGGGAGAGGGGGGAGGCATTAGGTTGGGGGTGCCTGGCTCTGGGGGAGGGGAGAGGCATTAGGTTGGGGGGAGCTGGGAGTGCCTGGCTCTGGGGGAGGGATGAGGCATTGGCTTAGAGCGGGGTGGGAGGGTTCTGGGGGAGCAGAGGGGGATTGGGTAAAATGGGGGTATGGGAGTGCCTGGCTAAGGGGGAGCAGAAAGGGTTATTTTGTTAATATTTTGGTTTTTATTTTAAGGGGGAAAGGAGAGGGATATTTTGTATTTATTCCCAAATAAAATCACAAAATGTATATTAATTTTATATCAATAAATATGTTAATTTTTTGCAACTGCATGAATATTGTATGTTTATGCAAAATCTCAAACTTACAAAGTATTTGAAATTTTCACAGAAGCCTGTTCTATTTGATTATCCACGGTCTATACTTGATTTTATTTCAACAAAACAAGTTATGTATCATATAAAAAATTAAAAAGTACCTTAAATTTATATTTAAATTAAAATTTATTTTATATGGGCAAATAATTTTACACATCAAATTATTGTATTATATTAAAACAAGACCTGAAAAATTATAAAATATACCTAAAACATAATCTATAATAATAATTATGACTTTCCGATAGAAGTACGTTTTCTTTGGTGGCACTGAAAGCTATCAGTTTTCGCTTGTGTGGCCCTCATTAGGCTTTGAGTTTGACATGCCTAGAGTACAGTATTCCACCCAAGGAGAAGTGTGTAATTTAACAGTAATATGAATGCCACACAACAGAATATGATTTTTTCCTGATTTATAAATGTAATGTTAAATTTATTTAAAAAGTCTGCAAGCATGAAAACTTAGGAGAGAAATGGATAGGCTTAATCTTGGGCCTTGTTTTAGCTAAAAATAATTGGGAGTGCTAACTAGTATATGGACACAAAATGCACCTATAACACAGCTCATATGAAAGCTTACCAACAGCACACAGGCACTACAATCATTGTTTGGATTAGACTTGTCTCAAGCAAGGCCTATCACCATTACTACTTTTACCAATACAGTGCCAACACGGAGGAAAGTTACTGGCATACCTGCCTCTATAGTGCAAACAGATTTTCCATTACCATCACAATGCATGCGTGCCCCCTACTTAGGTGGCCTGTCTGGACTACATTCTTCACTACACTGTCCAGAGGTAAAGCTGACCAGAACCCATCTATCTATACAAATGATATTGCACACGGTGGCGAAGGAGATATGCTACTTTTGTATTTAGGGTTGCCACGTGTCCGGTTTTGAACCGGACGGTCCAGTATTTGAGCTCTCTGTTCGGGAAGCAACTTGAGAAAATATAAATGAGAAAATATAAATATCTGGTATTTTCTAAACAAGATGTAATGTAGATTGTGATGTAATGTCAAGTGTGTCCGGTATTTTTGTTGAAACCATCTGGCAACCCTATTTATGTAATGTAGGTGCAGTCATGTTAGTCTCAGGATGTTAGAGAGACAAGGCAGGTGAGGTAATATCTTTTATTGGACTAACTTCTGTTGGTGAGACACAAGCTTTTGAGGCATATACAGATCTCTTCTGCAGGTCTGGGAAAGACCTTTTGGTGCCAAAGCTAAATACAGGAGGAAACAAATTGTTTAGCATAAGTAGTTAAGTCTAAGAGACCCATTTAAACCACTGCAGTACCTAGAATGGTCTCTTGGTACTTATATGCCAACTAACAGATGTTGATCCAATAAAAGATATTACCTCATCTCACCTTGTTCCTCTAATGCTACTTCTGTGATATGGTCGTAAAAACACCAGAAGCTGCTGCCACCATGGCTATGTCTACACTGCACAGCTTCCAGCAGCGGCACAGCTGTGTCACTAAAGCCTTGCCACTGTAAGGTAGGCCCTGTAGCTGTTTTTGTCATCAGAAGAGAGCTCTTCAGTCAACAAAATAAAACCATCACCCATGAGAGGCGGTTCGCCAACAAAGCACTGTTCACACCAGAAGTTTTCATCATTAAAGTTTTTGTTGGTCGGGGTGTGGTTTTTTTACATCACCTGACCAACAAAAGTTTTAACAATTAATGTGCAGTGTAGACATAGCCCTTGTTTTCATTCAGGCTTTCACCTGTATAGCTGAAGTAGGCAATTACAGGTGGGATTTTGTTGCTAAAATCCTCTAGTGTAGACATAATCACAAGATTGCACTGAGCCAAGATACGGAATAAACCAACTGAAAGGAAGGGAAATGTGAACTAGATCTTTATTTACTGACCGACATCTATCACAGAGCAAGTTTTCAGTATAAAACAGAAGACTGAAAACTGCTTACCCTCACAGAACAAGAAAAGAGATCTTTTTATTCTGAGAGTGTGATGTCACTCCAAATGTGCAAAGCATGAAAGGGAGATCATTTAAAATAAGCTAATCAAGGAAATTGGTCTGATGTCATCTGGACTGATTGGCATTTCGCACAGAAAGGAAAGGAAGGGAGGAAAAGGGTATAAAAATTCAGATCACACAACTTCAAGATGTCCTACTGACCAGAGACAAGAAAATCTAGATGTCATGCTCTATATTTAATAGCTGAGGCACTACATAAAATATAATGAAATTCTACTTTAGTAATTTAGGCTATGTCTACACTACAGCCAGATCAATGTACTGGGGCA